GGGGGGGGGGGGGGCGCAGGAGACGCTTTTTCGTGTGCTTTTTCGTCCCATCTTCCCTTCTAGGCGGCAGTCTACGCCTTATTGTGTACGTCTCACGGGACGGATCAGCCGGGTTAACACAGGCGTAACCATAACCATAACCATTCCATTCCTCCTCCGAGGCGTGACATGTTGTGACGCATCGGGGTATCCGACGGCGCTGACGCATTTCAAAGACCTCGACCACAAGAAGGACATATCATGGACTGGTTGGTGGCTGTTGTTGATACTATTAATAATCGGTTTGGAGTGGCTGCGAGTGGCATCGTTACTCGCTTCGTCCGCAGGCACTCCACGATTTTCTGGGCGTGGTGCAGTGTGCGGTCACAGCAGTGCCATGTGACTCGCTTCGCTCGAAGGCACTTCACGGGGTTTCGAGGGCGCTGCAGTGTGCGGTAACAGTACGGTGTGACTCGCTTGGCTCGGAGACACCTCACGAGGTTTCGGGCGTGCTGCAGTGTGCGGTTACAGCAGTGGCGTGTGACTCGCTTTGCTCGGAGGCACTTCACGGGTTTTCGGGCGTGCAGCAGTGTGCGGTTACAGCAAGTTGTGACTCACTTCGCTCGAAGGCACTTTACGGGGTCCCGGGCGTTCTACAGTGCGTGGTAACAGTACGGATCGACTCGCATGTACTCAAAGGCAGTCAGTTCATGCGCGGGCAGTGTGATGCCCCCCCCTTCTCGAGAGGAAGTTCCTCGGTGTGCCTCTCTTTGCTCGTAGTGTAGTCTAGGCACTTGGCTCTATTATTATTGCTCAAGAAGATAATCAATTGTTCGATCGCTCAGCAAGTGCATACCTCCCCTCGATACGCCTTGCCCCACCCACCACCGTGTTGTTCAGTAATCCAGGCCACGCACCCGTCCACTCTCTTGGAGCATTGTATGACTGTCTTTCGTCCCACAGTCAGCGCAGCACACGCAGCTCCCCTACCTCTCACGTTAACCGTAACCATTGTAACTGTCGAGGAAGACTTGTGAGTTTGTTTATGGTGGGCGGCGGCATTGAGCTCACGGCAACAAGGGTGGAAAGCAATCTGATGCCGAAGAGTTGCACCAAGAGCAGCAGTACGCAGCATACAAGGGCAGCGATACATCAAGTCGGCTATGCACGAGCGTCGACGGCAGCAGTGAGCTGCCGGACAGGAGGAGTGTTGCCGGAGCGTTGTGGTCCGTTTGAATTTGACCCCCCCCGCCCCCCCGGTGATTGCCATCGGGGTTGGGTTTTCGTCGCTTGGCAACGACGTTGTAAAACAAGCCGCCCC